TCCTGTTGTTTGTTTACGCCTTAAACGCGCATCTAGCTGGTTACCAAGGGGAACCAGTTGGAACGAAAATGAGGCTGTTGTCCCGTCTTGTCTTACCCAAGACTCAGTAAGACAAGACGAGTCAACAGCCTCAGAAAAAGGAGAATCTAGAATCTAATTAATTGCCCCACAAAAGTGAAGGCTTTCTTAAACCATATATTTCCTTCTGCTTGTACGCCCGGTCAGAAGCTGTGGGACTGTTTGAAATTATTCAAGCAGGATCTAGAGTCTAGATCTAGATCTAGATTAACTAGGCCTACACAGCGAGCTGTTCCCCAATGTCAGAATCAATGATCATGAACTGAAGTTCAGAAACAATAGCACTCCTGTGCAATAGCGGTCCCGTTTGCACTAAATCACGCAAGGCCAAGTGTCCGGTGTTTCTTATTTAGATCTAGATCTAGATCTAGATCTAGGCCTAGATTATAGATACATGATTATATAGATACATATATCTAGATTCTAGATCTAGAATCTAGATCCCATATCTAAACTGGATTAAAATTATAGATTTAGATCTATTCTAGATTCTAGATCTAAATATCTAGATCTAGCTATCTAGATCTAGAAATAGATTATATTGGCTAACTATAGATTCTAGAATCACTGCCTCATGACAATAATGGCCGTCATGTAAACATTAAACGGGACCATATAATTGTACAGGTGCACCGAAAAAGAAGCCATTGAAACAAGCACAGAAGCTTAAGTAGATCTAGATTTCTAGGACTATATCTACTGTTGATATGATAGTATGAATCAAGTTGCATGATAGATCTAGTGTGTCTCCGCCAATTCACAGGCAAGTAGCCTAGGCCTAGTCAAGAGTCGCCCTTCAGTCATTCGCCAACCACTAGGGGCCTAGATCTAGAATCTAGATCTAGATCTAGAAATAGATCTAGATCTAGAAATAGATCTAGATCTAGATCTAGATTTAGATTATCTAGATTAGATCTAGATTATAGATCTACTTTCCGAACTGCACTCTTGGCTGGGTGCACAACAAAATCTAGACCTAGATATCTAGATCTAGATTCTAGAATTAGAATCTAGATCTAGATCTAGATCTAGATATATATATATATATATATATATATATATATATATATAGACTAGATCTAGATCTAGATATATCTAGATTCTAGAATCTAAATCTAAATCTAGATTCTAGTTTCTAGATCTAGATCTAGATAGGCTACGAGTTATACGCGCATCTGGCAAAGTGGGAGGGGCCTGCGCTTGTCACATGACGTAAAGAAGAGTTGTCCTGTCTTGTCTTACTGAGTCTTGGGTCTTACTGTGTCTTGGATCTAGATATAGATCTAAATATAGATCTAGATCTACATTCTAGATTCTAGATCTAGATCTAGAGAATAACTCTTTGGCTTTGGTTTGTTTTGGTTACGAAGTTTGAAATCAAAATAAAAGTCATCTCTATTCTAACAACAACATGCAATATCAATGCAGTTTCTTTCAACTTTTGAATCGTACGTTTTCTGATTACTTTGCTTACCTTAGGATAGTTTTGTTTGGGGTTTGTTACGCGGAGGGAGATATACGAATAGCACAACTTGTAAATTAAGCGTGGCAAAAAGTAAAGGAAAACAATCCAGATTTTTCCCAATTCTCAATCTGACTTCGACGGCATGAAAATGTTGTTTTCTTGTGAGACTCTAGAATGGATCCTCTTGTCCAATTGACGGATCATTTGAACTTTGTTGGTACGGATGTATTTCGCCAGCTGATATCAGTACGGTACAAATAATTTATTACACTCGCTGTGGTGTTAGACCATGATTTATCCTAGGCCTACTTGTTGTGAAATTGCCAGTTGTAATCACTCGTTGAAACTTGTGATTACAACTTGGCAATTTCACTCGTAGGATAAATCATGATCTTACATCACAACTCATGTAGGTCTAATAAATTATTTTTCTTTTTGCTTTGAAACGTTTTGTCCTGAGTGAATGAATCATTAGGCTATTTTTCAGTGATCATGTGATTGGTGTAAAACGCTCAGAGCTTATACTCATAAGGGATGGAACGCTATAATAGACATAAATGCAATCTATCATCATCATCATCATCATCATCATCATCATCATCATCATCATCATCATCATAATCATCATCATTTTTTAAATTATTATTATCATCATCATTATTATTATTATTGTAAGTAGCAAGGAATAAAAAAGGGTTGAGAATTTTTCAAATTTAATACAGGTTCAATTTTTCGCCCTTTCAAGGGCGTATTGTTATTGTTATTATTATTATTATTATTATTATAATTATTATTATTATTATTATTATTATTATTATTATTATTATTATTATTATTGTTGTTATTATTATTATTATTATTATTATTTTTGTTGTTGTTGTTATTATTATTATTATTATCATGATTATTTTTAAAATTATCATTATCATTATTATTATTATTATCATCATCATTACCCTGTCTGACGAGCTGCGTGAGTTCCTGCTCTTTGCACGAGTCTGGTATACAGCTGCCAATCTGCAACTGCTTGCTATGTGAGAGCGTTGGGACCCCAGTTAAATCAAATGAAGACTGGGGAGGAGGGAGAGCAATATCAGATGAGTGCGGCTCTTCTTCTTCTTCTTCTTCTTCTTCTTCTTCTTCTTCTTCTTCTTCTTCTTCTTCTTCTTCTTCTTCTTCTTCTTCTTCTTCTTCTTCTTCTTCTTCTTCTCCTTCTTCTTCTCCTTCTTCTTCTGGTTCTTCTACTTCATCGACACTTCCTCATAATAAGGTTCTAGCGCTAAATCTTGTGCTTCATCATGAACAGGTTGGCCAGGTCGTCTTAATCATTTTCTTCGAGGGGATCCTATGAGCCAGGGGCTGCGAGCGATGGTTTACATCGGGGGACGGGGG